GACCGGGCTCTGGCGGGCAGCGCGCCCCGGCCGCGGGCGGCTCGTCCCGGCTGTGAGAGACCCGCCTGTCGCCATTTCCAGCCGACTGCTGGTGCCCAGCTGCACCTGGCTGTGGGCTCCTGCAGAATGCAGTGGCCACATTAAATCACATTAGGTTAGGTTTTAGCAAAAATCTTTTTGCTGGCGACATTAAATCACATTAGGTTAAACTAAATCAACAAGAAATAGATTATAATTTTATTTTTCCATTAAAAGAACAAGTCTATAGTATTGTTAACTTCAGGAAATAATGAGGAGGGCTTTCCAAAAGCATGTTGTAATCTTACATAATACTTTCTACCGCCTTCTCGTGTTTTAACTTGAGGGTGAACTCGGGTCTAAGCTTCAGGCTTTTATGAGACACTCAAAAACTTGCTGCTTATTGAAAGTTCAGATCCAAAGTTCAGATCCACAATAATTTGCAGACTTGCAGGAGATGACGTTTTGAGGAAGAACCACCAGCAATAATAGAGGTGTGATGATAAATAAGTAATAAAAATATGATAAAAGTGTCAGTGTTAAAAGGTGGTGTTGTGTTTGCTTTGTAGTACAAACTCAGATGTTACAGCATTGACTGCGTGCAATACTGATTTTGGGACTTTTTAATTTTAGACACTGCTTTAAGACAAAGACATCATGGATAAATATGAAATCATTAAAAAAATTGGAGAAGGATCTTTTGGTAAAATATTCTTGGCAAAAGGAAAAGTGGATAATGAACAGTGTGTTATCAAAGAGATCAATTTAACTAAGGTAAAACAACAAAACCTGGATGATAATGGTTGTTATCTGTATAGTAGAGCGTGTTTAATTAATTTTCTGATTGTTGAATCTTTGAGGATTACATTTCAAAATTATTTCTTAAGAATGAGGATAAGAAACGTTTTATAAATACAAGAGGACATTTTGATGGATTCAGAGACATGAATTTTAAAGAAGTAATATTGATGAAAGTGTGATCACAATGAAATAAAGAGAAGTTTTCCATTTAATGTAACAGGGCAAAGAGTTTGCCTGAAATGTTGCAAGAACTCGTAACACCAGTAAAACAGAGGGCTTTTTTTCTTTTTCCTTTATTCTTTTGCGATCATCCATATTAAGAATACAGAATCACCGAGACTCTTATTCTTCAAATACTTAAGCGAAGCTTGACTTTAGAGTTTAACTATTCAGCAGCTAGCTTAGCAATAGCATTTGTGTAAAAGGTTTAAAGGTATATATGTGTCTGTCTGTAAAATGTCATAATTTGGTTTGACTTCTGTAACGTTCCAATATATTTCCAAGCTTACACTGCAAACTGATGTTTTACATTACATATACATCATACTGTGTAATATTTCTGCATCACCTTGGTACACAGTCTTGTATTTGTGGAAATAGTTTGATAATGATGTAACTTCTTAAAAAAAGTTAAATATATCATTGCTAGCATACAGTTTCTTAATTCTTTGTAGATGCCTGTGAAAGAAAAAGAAGCCTCTCAGAAGGAAGTAATTCTTCTGGCCAAGATGAAGCATGCAAATATCGTAACCTTCTATACTTCTTTGCAAGGTTTACTTTAACATTTCTGTATTATCTGTGATTATAGGAGTGGAAGGCAGCAAAACCTAGCTTGCTGATTTTGCCCAACCTTAAGCCTGTCCCCAGCCCTTTACTTACCAGTGGGGACAGATCCCAACTCCTAAAAATAAGCACAAGGTATCAGATTCAGTCATCACTTGCCCTCTTCATATGTGTGAGTGGGACCTAAGGTATTGTGGCATGAATGCTAGATTCTGGGGTGTCTGCATTGCTTACCTTGAACTTTAGTCTTGACCTTCAATAGGAGTCCAGAGTTTTATGGACTTTTACAGGGGGTTCAGTGGAAGAAGAGAGCTTTTGAATATAGCAGGGAAGAGGTCCTGTTGGCCTTTTATCTTGAGACATATTTTGAGGTGTCACTCAAGGATACAGGATGCTTCAGGACTGAAAGAGATAGAAGGAAGTGTGTTCTTTATAAAAGCTGATTCCCTGTATTTATTTTCCCTGCTGACATCTGTCCTAAGGAATGCCTTATGTAATGAATGCTGTAGTTACAGCTTGTGTTCAAACTGTTTTCTGTGATCAGGACTGTAAATGTTTTAAGGGACGTTTAAATCTGGTAGTCTTCTGGACCCCAGAGAGGTAAGAATAGGGTGAGTGTATTAAGTAGCCCATGCAGTTTATTTCTACTATTGGACACTGTCTACTTTTAACCTTTTCCCTAATCCTAACTGTATACTTAGTTATTATTTGGGAATAATCACAACTATGAAGTATTCTGCTAAGCATTGCCTGTAAGAACATATCTTCTTACTACCAGCGTAGTCTCTTGAGAGTTTTCTCATGTATTTAATACTTTGGTGAATTTCAATTTAAATATATTTTCATGTCTCAGTTTTGCATCAGGTTTCACTGGAAATATAATTTTTTTCTAAGTTACTCTTTGAAGTGGATGAGTAGATAGAGGATTAACTAATCCCTTTTAAAAGAAGGACTATGTAATGCAAAATAATTTGGTGCTGTCCTAATGAGTAATAAATGAATAAAGGAAAAATTATACTTTTCCTTTCAGAAAAGAACAAGCTATATATTGTGATGGAATACTGTGATGGTGGCGATTTAATGAAGCGCATAAATGTGCAGCATGGAGTGCTGTTTGACGAGGACCAGGTGAAAGAAGTTATCTGTAGAGGAAATGACATATTATGTAAACCAAGTGGTTTGAATTGTCCAGTACAAGCTACTGTTTCTTTTCTGAGCTGTTAGAATAATTGAACATCTTAAAGAAACTGTGGTAGTTTTAATGAGAGTTTAGAGTTTGCTTTTTGCACAGGTTTAAGATCTTAAATTAATTCATTATGAGTGTTTTGATGCCGTTTTTATCCCCCTTCCCTCCCATTGCTCCTTCCATTTTGGATGCTCTTTTTCTTTGTATTGGTAGTATACCTACTAAGCCATAAAGACTTTATTTTAAATGGTGTTTTAGAATTATGGAGGGGATATATTGGATACGAGTTCTTAATTTGTTTATACTATTTGCATCATGGCATATAGCGTTTTTTACTGAAGTCAGTGGTAAATCTCTCATTAATATCATTTGGGTCTAGACTTCTCTGATGCCATTTAAATTGTTAAGCTAGCACAGAGAAGTATGCCCAGAATTCTGACTGCTTTTAGAACATGTTCATATATATTTTAATTTGTAAATTGATTTGCAAGTGTGATAGGTATTCAATTTACAGAAACAGAATTTTCCACTATTCCTTACTTCTTTTTTTTTTTTTTTTTCCCTAACTCTTAGCTTTCTGAAGGAAATTTTCTCTTATGTATTGGGCCTGGTGTACGGAACTCTGAAGTTATTTAATCATGCATAGTCTTCCACTTCTGTAGGTACTTAAAAACTAGATAGATAGTATCCAACTTGTTAGTGGTAATAGACTCTAAAGCATAAAAGTGGAAAAAAGAGAAGTATTGTGACTTTTCTTTTTGCTTGAGTGATAAAAGAGGAACTCCTTAGTGTAGAAGTCAGTTGGAAGTGGTTCAGTAATAATGAATTTTAAGATCCTATTGGGAGTCATACTAGTGGTAGAGAGAACACGAGATAAAATAAAGAGAGGGCAAAACCACAGATCATGAAAACAAAAAAGAGAACCAACACACACAAACCCCTTGATAATGAGGTAGAATAATATATATCCAGAGAAAGGCCAAGGAAGTACAGATAGAATAATGGAATATAGAAATTAAAGATACATGTGCCAATCACAAAAGGAAAGCAAATTGCCTAACTTAACATAATGTTGTTAAGGTATCTTTATATTTTCAAATGTGTGCCTAAGAAAGTATCATTTGTGGCATCAACTCTATTGAGGAAATCATCTGCTTAATGTGAAGCATTAGTAAATAGAAGATTATTACTTGAATTGAAGTCTTTAATGACCATCAGTTTTCCCAAATAAAGAAGCATATAAGCACATTGTGGTTTTGTTTCTGACTTAAGTCCAAAGGCTCTTATTCGGTAAAGCACATGTGTAGTGGAAGTTAAACATATATTTAAGATCAGTACCTGGGTCAAGGATAAAGGATAAACCTGTATGCTTACTTATTATGCAAGTTTCTTCGTAACTCCCTTCTTTCACCAGAATTCAGCTCTTCATCCTTTGTTTCTTTTTTTTTTTATTCTGGACCACATTTGGTAAGACTACAAGTATTGTCACTGGGTAGTATAACTTCCACTGCTAAGGATTAAAAAGACACTTCCCAGTTCTGTCTTAGTTGTTATTAGAACTCACTTATTTCTAGATAATGGTCTAATATTCTAGCATGATTCTTCAGTCCTTGTTCAAGTACTTGTCCTGTGACAGTCACTTAGAACTTGAGGGAGATAAGGAAAGTGGAGCAGGTATCTGTTTCCATTTAGTTTCATGGTAGCACTAAAAAAGGAAAGGAAAAGTCTTTGGCATTAATTTAAAAAGTATTATTTCTTACTATTTGATATTTTATGTGCTCTACAGATACTAGATTTTCTTGCTGTCTTTATATATTTCAGTAAGGTGCCCCACTGGACATCACACAAGTTTATAGATATCTGTTCCCTTTAACTTTTTCTGCAGATTCTGAGTTGGTTTGTGCAAATCTCCTTGGGCTTGAAGCATATTCATGACAAGAAGATTTTACACAGAGATGTAAAAGCACAGGTAGTAAAAGTAGTACTGGAGAGGGGGCGATTTTGTCTTGGAAAAATATATTTAAGAAGCTCTACTGTGTTTCATTTTCACATACCAGGTTTGTTTTTATTTGCAGAACATTTTTCTTAGCAATAATGGAAAGGTAGCAAAGCTTGGGGACTTTGGCATAGCAAGACAGTTGAACAGGTAAGCCCATTTCTAAATTAGTTTGTGACCTGTACCAAATAGGACTGTTTCTGAATGTTCAGAACGTAACCTGAATGTGCAAATTGTTTGTGGATTGTGCTTGTTCAAGAGGTCTGGGATACAAAGGGTCTGACACTACATTTTTTTTCTGTTACCCTAAAACATGCCATTCTGCATGAAACCACAGATGTATCTAGTCTAGGAACTGGACTGCTGGTATCTGTAGGTTGTAGGGTGAGGAAGCCTCAGTCTGTCCCTGTTTTCTGTGGAATGGACATGAAGAGATTCTGGAGGCACAGCTCCTGCTCTTGCAGCTGTTGATAATCACTTCTTATACCTCATAAAAAGGAAAGTTAAGAACATTAAAAACTTAGGAATGAGTATAAGAAAAGAGTTTGTACAGGTTTTCTTTGTATGTCCTCCAAGACTGTGTCTATAGTAATTTTTTAAAAAGGGCCAGAACCCACTGTCTGGACCTGAGAGTAAATGGCATGGCATGGCTTGCATCGACATGCGTGAACTCTGTTCTCCCAAAGAGGGTAGCTTTATCCTAAATAACTGTGTGGACAAGGATGGCCTGTCCTGCATAGTGGCCAAGTGTTGTCTGGGAGGGTGCTTTTTGGTATGGCCAAAACATGCCAGGGGACATACTATCAACAGGACAGTGCTTGAATTTGATCTCTTTTTGAGCTGCTTGATTATCTTTGGCCTTGGCAGGATATTGTGGCAGGGAAGGTCCACAATTTAATTAGGTACTGTGTGGAAAGGTCATTTTCTCTGTTCATAATTTTGCACATTGTCCCTCTAGTACCAGTCCTTCTCCGTTGTTTTGTACTCCACCTGCTGCAACTCACTTGGTAAAACTTTTCCTATCCCTAAATTAAGTCAATGTAAGTTTGACTACATTTCTGGCTACACAGCATCAGTAAAGAGAAAAGATGACTTTAACCAACATTGACGATTTGCTTGCAGCCCAGAAGGCCAATAACCGTATCCTGGGCTGCATGAAGAGAAGCGTGGCCAGCAGGTCGAGGGAGGTGATTCTCCCCCTCTACTCCACTCTCGTAAGGCCCCACCTGGAATACTGCGTCCAGTTCTGGAGCCCCCAACATAAGAAAGACATGGACCAGTTAGAACAAGTCCAGAGGAGGCCATGAGGATGATTCGAGGGCTGGAGCACCTCTCCTATGAAGACAGGCTGAAAAAGTTGGGGCTGTTCAGCCTGGAGAAGAGAAGGCTCCGGGGAGATCTTATAGCGACCTTCCAATACCTGAAGGGGCCTACAAGAAAGCTGGGGAGGGACTTTTCATAAGGGCAATTAATGACAGAACAAGGGAAATGGGTTTAAGCTGAAAGAGGGCAGGTTTAGATTAGATATTAGGAAGAAGTTCTTCACTGTGAGGGTGGTCAGACATTGGAACAGGTTGGCCAAGGAAGCTGTGGCTGCTCCTCCCTGGAAGTGTTGAAGGCCAGGCTGGATGAGGCTTTGAGCAACCTGATCGAGTGGAAGGTGTCCCTGCTGATGGCAGGGGGGTTGGAACTAGATGATCTTTAAGGTCCCTTCCAATCCTAACCATTCTATGATTCTATGATTCTCTTCAGATGTACGTAACTGTGTATATGGATTAAGTACCTTTAGGCATTCTTCACATGGATGTACAGCCTGTGTAATTTCTGCCAAGGCCACATCAAACTGGCTTTGGATTTAGGCCTACATCACCTTGCCAGTTCAGTGATGCATCAGAGCTAGGAAGTCTTGCTGAGAGTTGGAGTAACATGTTTGGATAGTACCTTGATCCAAGCCTGCTCATTTCCAGGGATGTGCCATGTCACTGTTCTAGTTGCAGCCTCAGCCAGCTCTTGTACCTTTGTGCTGTGTTTCTTTATGAGGCATCGACCTACAGTCAGTGCCTCAATTCTCTACTTGCAGAAAGTGTCTTCCTTCAGAAGTGTTCTGAGGATAATTGCCTTAAGGGTTGCTCCTACACAGCAGAATAGTATGTAGCAGATAGGAAGTAAACCTCAGAATTTGAATGTCCAAGTACCGACATTTTAAAGAGTATTTAATAGGCTTATACAAGAAAATAATTGGAGCATGATAGTACTTTTTCGTATAAAACAAGTGAATTAAGTTTCTCAGGCTCTTTTTTCATGCTTCCCTGGGGTAGACAAAGGCATTGTCATCTCTGTTTTCCACTTCAAAATGCAAGATAGTGTCCAATACTTGCAGTTAGGTGTCTATGGCACCTCTGGCACTCAGACTTCATATCTTCTGTAAAGAGTGTGACTTACAACTTTAATGACATCTAGTATAGAGTGAGAGGAATCACTCTCTGTGTGTACCTGTTTCTCTCCACTGGCTTCCCTGTGACTCTTGATGACATCCACAGTGTAGATGTCTAAAAGCAAGTGAAATTAATCCAACTGGTGCTATTTGGCTACATCTTCACAAGTCAGCACCAAAGATGGAACTAGAATTCACTTATTCCTGCTTTAGTTTCTGGACAGCACTTCCTCCTTCCACTGTTCTGGCTTGTGTGACTGACTGCCACCTCCCACATTCTTACTTCAGTGAGTATGTTGGAGACTTCTAATATTTTGCAGTGTCTTTGACAGCTTTCAGAATTCTGTGTTAATGATAAACATTCCTTGAAAATGTTGATTACAGTGCTGGTGAAAAGTGGGGGAAAAAGCATTCTGTTGCTTTCTGTTGAAGTGTGAACACTCTCCACTATTAAAATAGTTGGTTGTTTTTACACAGAACTGGAAAATACTTTAGTTTTTCTTGGGGTGTTCCATTATTCAACTATTGGATAGCAGAAGTAATGTCCCCCATGGGCTTTTCACCTGAGGCAGAGAAGCCTCTAGTTCCATTGCTTATCAGGTTTTTCAGTGTGTGAGCCTTTTTGTTCATTGTGTTTCATCAGCACTATGGAGTTGGCCCACACCTGTGTAGGGACCCCCTATTACCTGTCACCTGAGATCTGTGAAAATCGACCGTATAACAATAAAACGTAAGTCTCTGTCTTTCCTTCATATGTTTGTGCATGAGGGCGTGCAGGCACGAAATAACTTACTTTAGTGATATCATAGTTTGAATCAGTGTTTCTGCAGGGCACCAGGAATTTAACGTGTTATAAATAAAGCCTTGCATTATTGTGTGCAATAATTAGGTGCATCAATCATATACCACAACTGTGCTGTACTATACAACACTGTCAGTTGTATTTTGCCTCATAGTGTCCAGAGTATAGCAAACATGAATTTGTTGTGATTTATCTACAGGCTTAACATAATTATATTTTTCTGTTTTTATAAAATTACTTGTATTTAAACTTAAAGTTCAATCTTGTTCTCCTTTAATAATCCTTTTTAGTAGTGGTGTGAAATGTAAGATAGATTTTTTTTTCCTTTGCTTTATCTGGTTCTCCATCAAATACTAAATTTCCCTCACTGTTAGCAGCATGTTATAACCAATGAAGGTGTGGATCTCTTCAGTTTCAAGTTTAGGTATTTTTGATACACTCATTTGTGATTTATAAAAATACACTAAAATGAAGCTGCTAGATTGGCAATTCTGGAACTTTTCAGTAGCCACCTGCAGGAAAGACAAATAGGTCTGAGAATTGTAAAGGTTCTTTCAAGCTTAATGTAAAATACTGAAATAACAAGTTGAGAAGCACTGAAAAGTCAGGAGCTGAGCGAGCTTGACCCCTTTCTCTGTGTGTGGGACATGATCAGCACCAAATATCATGGAGCCCAGACTAACATCTCAGCTCTTAGGTGCTCTTCACACAGGTTTACTCCCTTATTGTTTCCTTAACTCTCAAGTCAGCCAGAGATAGCTTTGCCCTTCATCCTGCTAGGAGTATTAAGCAGGTTTTCTTTATGTCATGTGCCTTTTCCAATGATAATTGTAGTACCTAGATAGGTATCATAGAAACATTGGTACCACAACTAGAAAGACATTTCAGGTTGTTCTTTTCAGTGCATCTTAAGAAAAATTGAAAGTTGCACCAATATTAATCTGTGATGGAATACTGTTAATAAATTTGAGATCTGAGAATAGATACTGATTACATGTGTGAAAATATCATAGTCTTCTCCCTGAAACTTTAATTACCTTTTATTCACAGAGATATTTGGTCTCTTGGCTGTGTCCTTTATGAGCTATGTGCACTAAAGCATCCTGTAAGTACCGCAGAATCAGATCAATATCATAATTTTTAAACAGATAGTGGGCAGCCTGAAAAAAAATATAGTAATAATAGTATTCATAGGCAGCTGCTGGAATTATTTACAAGTTATTTACTGATACTAAAGAATGACTGCCAGTATTTAATTTTTTGTATTGTGTCTGTTTTGTGCACACTAAAATAAGATGTATTATGTTGTATTTCTACAGTTTATATATATATACACATACACATCAAGCACACAGTTATTCTTTAATAAGTACAAAACTTGTTCAAAGGCAGATGAACAATTTAAAGAATTAAAGGCAAACTTCAAGGTTAGGCTTTAGGCATATAATTTTACTCATTTGTATTTGAAAATACCAATCTATACTTACTAAAGAGTTTGAAACCCACATTTCCCCAGCAAGCAGTTTGAGTCTCCAGAAGCATTTTCCCAAAGGTTTAATTTTGTGTGGAAGCACATTCATGTCAGAAGATAACTGAGATGACAGCATCTTCAGGAAGCTGTGTTGTCCTCAGCCTAATATGAGCCACAGATAATCCTCAGCCTGTGAGTATTATGTGGAGAAGGGAGTACAGCAGAGGCTATTCTCAACAACGGGAAAAGGATCAGATCCCTGGGCCTCACAGAAGTTGACCTTTTGCTGAGCCTGGATGTTGGAGAAGACAGAGCAGCACTGACAGGGAGAGCAGTTGTGCTGAGCTGAGAGCAAGGGGATACTGCTGAGGAAAAATTCAGATTTCACAAAGTGAGAAAACATTAATATTACTTCTTATGAATATGAGGTGTTTTATTCTATGTTGCTGCCCATTTTTTTAAATTGAAGGCAGGGACTAGATGCTGATGTAGACAGGAAATGCAAGTGAAACTAAGGCCAATTTTTGGTTACACAACCTTCAAAATAACTTTGTAAATAAAATGGTAATTTTAGAATTGTTTTCAAAGTTATTTCTGCCTGTCTGAGTTCCTAAAAACTATAGTGATCTGACCTGTTAAAAGATCTGAACTGAGGGCTGATGTATCTGAGTGGCATCAGTTGTTAAGCATCAGGATTATACCTTGGTTCCTGAGAGAACACAGAATGCAGAAGCTAAGTTGTGTGGAGTGAGGTTTTGAAGGTGAACACTGTGAAGACAGTATCTGTACAGGTCTCTGTTGAACAGCTTTTGGCAAAATAAATGATGTTTCATTCTGGAAAAATTGCTTCTGTGTTACTGTATCACAGCAGAGTATGAATAAATCTTTTCCAGCTACAAAAGCTATCAGACTTCCTAAGCTGTGCAACTGAAACAAGGAGAATGTAACCAGAAAACACAATCAGAGAGTGGTTATGTCAGTTTTGCACAGCAAACCATGGTTAGCAAGAAAGGATTTCTGAAGAGATTGCATAGCACAGGGCTTCTGTCAGCAAGTGCCTTTTTTCAAGTTAGAGTGTCTAGCCCATCATTTCCAAGTAGCAGTACTTACGGTCCTTCTTCTACTGTTTTCATCGATTAAGTTTGAAGGCAATAGTTTGCACCAGCTGGTGCTGAAGATCTGCAGAGGACGTTTTCACCCAGTGTCTCCCAACTATTCATATGATCTGAGGATATTAATTTCCCAGTTGTTTAAAATATCTCCAAGAGATCGACCATCTATCAACTCTATTCTAAGGAAGCCCTTCTTGCAGAAGCTTGTTCTCAGGTATTTGCCCCCGGAGGTAAGTGCCTGTACTGCTGCTTGCTGAAAGAAAAATATTTATCAAAGTAGGATGAACAGTTCTATCAGATACCTTTTTTCTTACAGATCACACCGGAAGAGCTCAGTCTTCTGATACACGGAAAAAGGCCTTCAGCATCACACTCTGGAGCCAAGCTGAGACAAGGTAATGATAATAATATTATTAACATTCGTTCTACACTTACATTTGTTAGTTATGATATATGTGATGGCTATGACTTTCTCCAGCAGTCTTTATTGCACATTTGGATACAAGAGTTTTGCATAAAGTTAAAAATAAAAAGAGGAGAGAACTGCAACAGTGGAAACATTCACCCAGGATAGTGCATCTCTGTTCTGTTCGGGAAAAGATGACTTTAAGACCAGCTCATTAGCAACATTCATCTAGAAAAGCTGTCATAGAAAAATGCTGAAACATTTATCTTCATTCTTTTAAGAATAAAAACTGAGAGGCTTTGGTCTACATGCAGTTTAGGTCCATCACATGAAAAACATACTTACTTAATTTTGCCAAGCTGTCATAGTTTAACCTGGCTGGCAGCCAAACAACACACAACCACTTGCTCACTCTCCCTGCCCTCCTTCAGGGAGTAGGGGAGAGAATTAGAGGGGTAAAAGTAAGGACACTTGTAGGTTGAGATAAAAACAATTTAATAATTGGAATAAAATAAAACTTAAAATAATAATTGCAATAATAATTATAATGATAATACTAGAATATTCAAATGAGTGATGCACAGTGCAATTGCTCACCACCTGCCAATAACAATCCTTGGAGGAGCAAAAATCCAGAACCTGAAACCACAATCCCGGAGGAACGAGAGGACTCTCTTTCCGGCCAGCCCTTGTTTATATACTGAACATGACATTCTGTCATATGGAACACCCCATTGGCATATCAAAATGCCACTTTGGGTCTGCTAATTTTACTATGCCCCCTTAGTTTCTTCTGCACCTGCAGACTAGCAAAACACGGGGAGTTGGAAAGTCCTTGATTTCCCAGCAACAACATTTTTCTCATACCATATTGAAACCAAAACACAGCACTATTCTAGCTACTAAGAAGAAAATTAACTCTACCCCAGCCAAAACCAGGACACAGCTATGTACAAAAATCTTGCAAAACATGCTTCATGGTATTTTACAAAATAACAAAAATGTATTTTGTAAAATATTATAAATTAGTTTAAATTGTGAGATCTGTTTGGACATCGTGTTAATTTATCAGAATTTATATGCACATTCTTAGAAAACATGAATGAGACTAAAGGGTATCACTGTATGAAGTGTTGAACAACTGGCATGTTTCTGGCAGCCTAACCTTTCCCTAATTCTCTATTCTTCAGTATATCATAATTATTCCTTAAATTTATCTTTGGAAGTATTGAAGTAATTTAAACAGATTTGTGAAAATAAACTTATGTAGTTACTTAGCTACACTATAGACTTTTTTTTTTCCACAAAAAATGGAACCCATGTTATTTTGGAAATGACTTGAAATTAGGTTTTTCTACCTTCAAGGCTAATGTGATTTGGACAGAGGCACCTGAACACCTAAGACACTTAGGCATTTTAAAAATTACTAATAATTTTCATATATTTTGTCTCCCAGACATGATACTCTCACAATCATTACTCAGGAAAGATTTAAAACTCACTTAGAAACTACTTAATCCTAGCAAGGACACTACTTTCCATTATTGCAGCTAAGGTATTTGCAAAATGCTGACTGACCAAACTGGAGTGTTATGTACTTTTATTCTCCACATGGGGAACTGATAAGGTAAATTTTTCACTTTTCAGCCCTTCTCCCCAAATTTCACGAGTACTATAAGATCGTCTAGTGATTTGTAGAATACCAAGGGCTAGGTTTAGAAAGGGAATGCCTAAGCAGGTAGACACCTAGCCTCCAATGAAATCTGAGCCTGAGAATCAGACCTCCTGTTTTCCGTTCTTGGTACTAGCATGAAATCAGCATTCTGGTTTATAAAGGTCTCCCTTTTATTCAGTGTGCTGTGCAAAACTAAACAGTAAGATCCACTTTACACGAATGTGACAAATCATAATGTTTTCAAAAGCATGTAATTCTGAGAATAACAGGCAGAATGCCTAGGAAGTGTGAATTATGGTAACGATGATGTAAGGGTGTAAGGAGTGTTTGTTAGCCCAACCTGACAGTATTAAGTGTGTGCACCCTACTATGATTTGCAACTACATGATCATTAATCAAGTAGAGAGCACAAAAGGTGACCTTTTAATCTTTTATTGTTAAAAAGGACATATACTTCAAAAAAGGAGGGTCCAAGACCAGGTTTCTCCAGAATCTGGAATGGTGGTGCCTGTGCAGAAACAGGAATTATTTCAAAGAAATGAATGGAAACCTCCTTCAAGAGGGCAACAGCCTATTTTTCAGGTACCATATATCCACATTCTTGTAATATTTAATCATCTTCAGATGGCAAATTCCTTCTCTTAGAAAAGACCCTTTAAAAGTCCTCATTAAGATGTATTAAATTCAGCTTAATGCCTGCACTAACTCAGTAGAGACAGTTAAGCACTCCTGAAGCCTCAGAAAACATGTTTTAGAAAGCCTAAGTAGGAAACACCAAATTTAGGCTGCCTCAGTAAGGTCCTTTGTAACAAAAGGGGTCAAGCATGCTTTGCTTTGCATTTTCGTTTGCACAAAGGCAAATAAACTCTGTGTTTGCATTTTTGCTGTAGAAGCAAATACACTGATTCTCTTACTTCAGACCTTCTGAGAGCCCATTCATGGGCAAAACCACTGGCACCCACTGCCCTTGTCTCAGATACTATTACAACAAACTGGGATCAAACCTTACAGAAAGCCCCAGTTCTTCACAACCACACGTGTCCCTCACTCATTTTCCACCTCCTTCTTTCCTCAGGCTGGATATCAGCTGTATGCTGTGTCCAGCCTCTTCCTTGGCATCATTTCATACTTTTATGTTTATCTTCAAGAGCATGTAATACAGCCCTGGGTGCTGGTGAATGCAGAGCAAAGTGCATTTAGGATCTGTGAGCTCCCAGCAGTAGTTGCACATTGCAGTTATGGTAGATTAGCTGATGGTAGGGAATGTGGAGTTCCAAGAACTGCATCCATCAAGCAGTCACTTGCACTACCTATGGACAATACTGGCCCTGGGCAGAATATAGGATTTAGTTTTCCTCATAGTCGAATTTGTGCATATCCAATGCAAATCCAGAGATGGATTAGGTTAGGAAGGTTTAGTTTCCTTTCACTGTGCACTGCTGCAATCAAAGGCAGAATTTTGTCCACGGGAGAGGTGCCTGAGGACTGGAGGAAGGCAAATGTCACTCCAGTCTTCAAAAAGGGCAAGAAGGAGGACCCCGGTAACTACAGACCGGTCAGCCTCACCTCCGTCCCTGGGAAGGTGATGGAACGACTTATCCTTGGTGCCATCTCAAGGCATATCAAGGATAAGAGGGTCATTAGGGACAGTCAGCATGGCTTCACTATGGGGAAGTCGTGCTTGACCAACCTTCTAGACTTTTATGAAGACACAACCAGGTGGCTAGATGATGGTAGAGCAGTGGATGTGGTCTATCTTGATTTCCGGCAGGGGGATCGGACTAGATGATCTTTCAAGGTTCCTTCCAATCCCTGACATTTTGTGATTCTGTGTGATTCAGACAGGTCAAAAGCCTCCCTGAAAGCACGTGCCTGGTAGGCAATATCCACTGCTCTCCCTTTGTCCACCAAGCCACTCATTTAATTTTACAAGGTTATTGGTTTGGTCAGGTGTGTCTTCCCCTTGGCGAATCCATGCTGACTACTTCTGATTATTTTCTTGTCCTTCATGTGCTTGGAAATAGTTTCCAGGATTAGTTGTTCCATCACCTCACTAAGCATTAAGGTGAGGCTGACCAGCCTGTAGTTCCCTGGGCCCTCTTTCCTGCCCTTTTTGAAGATATGAGTGACATTTGCTCTCCAGTCCTTCTCGCAATCACTGCTATGATCAATCAGAGATAACAGAGAGTGGTTTTGCAGTGACATCTGCCAGCTCCCTGAATTCTCGTGGGTGCATCCCATCAGTCTAGTTTGCTTATGTGTTCTTTAACCTGGTCCTTTTCCACCAAGAGTTTGTCTTCCTTGCTCCAGACTTCCCCCCTGGTCTGAGGAGCCTGAGGTTCCTGAAGGCCAGACTTGCAAGTAAAGACTGAGGCAAAGGCAGCATTCAGTACCTCAGCCTTTTCCATGGCCTGTGTCATCAGGGTTCCCAATTCACTGGTCACAGTTCTCAGTCCTCTATATTTATTTAGATGGCCTGATTTGTTCTCCATATAGCTTGGGATTGACATGTTTCTGGATACCATACTGTAATGAGGGGCAAGAGAAACACTTTTTGAGGTTAGCTTTTCCTTGGGAATATTACTGACAGTGGAGAGTTTTCTTCTTATATAGGTATGAATTTATATTCTGCTGTAATCTCGACTATACCATAGGTAGATGAGCCTATTTTCAGTGTTTCTAAGAGGAAACCAGAGAGGAATAGTTAACACATTTACCATCTACAGAAGGGATTCTGAGATGCTTTTTAATTTATGTAAGAAAATGAGCAAAATTCAGCATTTTTCTCATACACCATAGTCTCCCAACATGGAAAAGTTTGTGAATGTCTTCCTACACTTATATAATGCAGTGGCAGCTAGACAATCACCTTCCCCCCATTGTTCTTATGGGAAATGGAAAAGACAGTCTTGTCACAAAGTAGAAATACAGGGATGTTTCATCACAGTAAGGACTTTGAGAAATGAAAGGCAAGCTCCCACAGGCACATAATCAGAGAGATGGTGAAATGAAGTAGCACAGTGCTCCCCTGAAAGCAGCCATCGGTGCCTACACTGCCCAAAACTACATCCCAGGTTCCCCTTGCTCTCATACGTCAAAATGAGACTCTCCTGGAATTAATTCAGTGCTTTAGGCTTCAGAACAATGAGGTGTCTCTAGGGCAACGACACTACAGGGCACGGAGCCTCATGCTGATTGTCTCGCACAACAATATGGGCTGCAGCTTAATGATAGGAACTGATGGAACAGGGGAAAAGGAAAAGACAATGGTGAGGTTACATATGCTCTGAGAAGTTAGGAAATTTCTGGGTTATATGTGGGAGGATTTGGAAAACTTACACTAACTATACTGTAGACAGTCTATATTACTATGCAACTCAGGTTGGGGAGAAGGACAGGAAATTAATTCAGACTTGTGCTGATACAAATGAAAACAGGTAAATTAACATCCTCTATTGTATTTTCAGCCCCAGAGCTACAGATTGAAGATGGCAGAAAGACCAGAGAGTACTAGAGTACATGGCCATTATGGTCAATACTATGATATGCTTGACAACTTGCAGAGGAAAGCTAATGCACATTATGACTTTTCTTGTATCAACCCAAGAGTTGAGGAATACTATAAACTAAAAGGACAAGTTGCACCTCCACCCCCACCACCCAACTGGTAAACTTTTCTCTCTGTATTTATTAGTAGTTTACTGTCATGTATGTTTTGAGTTGTCAGCCTTCCTGATTAGGTTAACACTGGATGTGTGTGATTCAGTATAATTCCTTCTCTGGATAGTCTTTGATAATTCTTTAACAAAAATTTATTGCACAACAACGTAACTTCTGTTCCTGTCTATCCAGAAGTTTCTTCTAAATGTACTGTCCTGATGTCTGACATTTCATTGTCAAAATGTCTCCCAGATCTCAGCACGGCAAGAAGTAAAACACAGGCTTTTTGTAGACTTTCTGATTATAGCAAAGATAAACACTGTCTTTCCTTCCTACCAGGATCAGAACGATACAGAGACCCAAAGCAGTTCTCTACCTGAGGGGACAGAGTGAGAGGCAGGCCATGAAATTTTGTTTCTTCCTGCAGAGCTTATATTTTGGTTTCAGATATAAAGACCTTTTCTCCAGCTGCTTGTTTACTTCAAAGCCTTTCTCTTACCATGTAGAGGTACAATCTTTCTATTACTTTAGAGGTTGGCTCTCCATTCCATGATTGGCTGTTTTAGGTCTGGATGAGCTTTGAAAACCTTGAGAAGGAAAGGGAAGGAATTTTTAATACTGCCTGCTTTCGGATCCTTCCTTGAAGGTTGACTGAATCATTAATTTGCATTCAATGACAACAGTGATTAGAATATTTCAGTCAGGGATCATCAGGTTTAGAACATGTTGTCTGAGCTGAGTTTCTAGGGCCTTATTTAAGGACAAAGCCAATTCAGTTTGCTTCCTGGGACACAAGTGGATTCTGAAGGTAGGAAATAAAATAAATAGAAATCAGGGAGCTTACAAGTGACTGCTGGTTATTTTTACCAAAAAAAGAGGAAAATGTTTAGAAACCAAAAAACTACATAAATACAAAGTTAGGCTCATAGAATTAGGCACAGAGGAGAAAGGAAATAGAAAAGTTGTTGAATATACAACCTCCATTCTGACAATTTTCACTTGTTTTGAGGATCAGGAAGAACAACTTTATTTTCATTAACACTTTCACATGCCATTTATCAAATAAAAGGTGGAGAAGGACTTTGCTGCACTATTCAGAAGGCTAATGTAAATGAAGTAATAGGGAGGGGAATGCCTGAAGTGGATATGTTTTCTTTTTGTTATTTCACTGTTGTTCCATATTTATAAACATTTATATATTCATGTAGTGCAAAGAGGGCTCTGTTTGTCCTATGTGATAGAACCTATAGATAATTATTTGTGCAGAAGATAGCAGAGTCTGTGAATTAAAATGTAGTGTATGAACATCACTGTCTTCTCTCAGGCCTGCAGAATATCTTCAAAGACGTTTTGAAGCCCAACAGTACAAGATTAAAGTGGAAAAACAGCTGGTAAGTAAATACTGAATCATAGAATAAAATCTGTAAAATAAACTGAAGGAAAAGCCAAACTGTAACACTGTCAGGTAGAAATTTCTGCTCTAGCAAATTTGTTGATCTGCTCTGCAATGCTCATCTTGAGGTTTTATTTTCGAATACAAAACTATAGCAATGTAAAATTCCACTATAACATTTTCCTCCAAAAATATACACTTGCTTTACTGCACTATTCAGTGCAACAGGGAGAGTGAATTGAGTCAGCACTGAAGGAAAGTGTTCTAAATGAAAATTCCTTTGCTCTGGGATTTATTTGTACACCCACAGGGACTGCGACCATCCTCTGCTGACCAATATCATGCCCAAATACTGCAGCAGAAAATAAAGGAAGAGCATCTCAAAACCCATCAGCAGGACTTGGCTAGAAAGAATGAAATGAAAGAACAGGTAAATGAAATACCTTCTTTAGCTGCTTGAAGCTGTCTTCTTACACTCCTTGACAGTAGCATTCTTTATATAAGAATTGTTTCTTTTCCATCTGACAACTAGAAAAATATAAGCTGTTTTCATCTGGTTCCATCTTACATGAACTGGTGAAGACTTGCACAAAAGCTGATGTCCATAATCATTAAAGCATGGCCTTGATTTTGATTTCACTTCTCCTGAGATTAGAGGAGTTACCTCACTGAACAAACTAATGTTGGAAGACAATAGATTCTCACAGTTGCAAATCAGAGAAAATAGTCATACGTGCATTACTCATTGTTCATAAGTCATACTGTAACATCTAGAGTGTGATGTAATAGTATCTGATGCATACTACGTCCCTGGTATGTTTTAACTTTTGGAGTTTATTTTATATGGAAACAATATACTTTTCTGGTTTTGCTTTTGAGTGACAGAGAAAACAAAATGATACTTTTTTCTTACATGAACACATGTAAATACATTTAATCTTTTTGTCTTTGATTTATTAAAAATGCTAGAATAAGTATGAATATATTAACTTTTACATGATGATCAGACTTTGGAATAAGAACATATTTATCATGTGCACATTCTTCAGAGACTGTTGTTGTTTAGTTCCACAAAGTCTGTACTAAATATGCCAAAACATGAAATTTTACAGATTTGTCCATTTGTAACATTGGCAAATTGGGATAAACTCTCATATAAGCAATAGCAGAGATGTCCTTAACAGGGAAATTATCTTTTTGCCAAATTTGAAGTTTTTGCTTTAAAGCATAGGAATTTTGAAGCTTCTCCAAGAGAAGAGTACCAGGTTTTGTTTCATTTTGGGGAGCAGGTTGCTAGACAATAAATAATACATATTTTTTTGTCCTCCTAATTTCCAGTCCTCTTATTTTTGGATTGCAACCTTAGCATCATTACTCAGACAGTCCTTAGGTTATTCTTGGAATTAGCTGTTTTAGATACAATTCTACAGAAAAGCTCGCATGAAGCAGTCTGGAAAACTTCAGAAAGGTTAAAGTCTGGAAGAGTTATGACTTCAAAATCTCCTCTCATAGGAAGTATCAATAAGTCTTTAAAATTGGCAGTAAAGGACACCGATCCCTTTTTCTCCTACATACACAGTTTGATATCCATAGAATATTTTGTTTGGCTAGTGTTATTTCTGCATGTATTTCTAATACATGTATGTTCTACCTTACTGTTCTCTAACAGGAGTACCTGAAACAATTGCAGAGAATTCGGGAAGAATACCACAGCGATATAAAAGAATTCAGATTTAGAGCAGGAGTACTCCAGGTAACAAAGCTCAAAAACATACACACATTTATATTTCATTTTTTCTTTTTAAAGCTAGTACACTTAATTAGTAATTGAAATGAACACTTTATAAAAATGTTCCTTAGGAGAATAAAAAAATACAAGATAAAACCTATCTTGTGAGGCAAGGGGAAGCTGAGGACCAGTCTGAAATCAAGGATACAGCAGAAACAGGAGAAGAATCATTTCAGGTATCAGTACCATTTCCTAGTCCAAACAGAACTTTTTATGCAAGTCCAACATGGTCTTTGATTCATTCTCTGTAACAAATCTGAAAAACAGTAAATCTTAAATCTCACATGATGGTTGCACTGTATGTGAAAGTCTCCCTAGGTTCCCTTCATGAATAGCTTGGAAAGTTTCTTTGTCTAAGTTCTGACTTGTTTTGGGAATTCTTTTTCATCTGGAAATATTAGGATGTACTTCAGTTTCTTTTTGTGGTATGTTTCTTTGCCTTGCTTTCTGAGTCATGTAAAGAAGCCACTTGCAGTGCAAATCTTTATGAGAATTCTGTGCAAAAGATAGGGCAATTCATCACAGCCCAGAGTAGCACTGTGTGGGAAGTCAGAATCCAGTTTTATGTGGAATTCTTACTTAAAAAAAAAAAAAAAAATTGGGATAGGTGGGAGGGAAAGGCAGAGCCAGAGCTTTCCAGCTCCAGCACTCCTTCACTTCTTTCCCATCAAACACTACCAAAGCAGCCACTGGAACGGAGTTTCAGAATTGTTCCGCTTCTATTTTGCAGTATTGGCATTATGAACATCAGATGAGGTTTCCAGACCACATGGAGTTCTGCAGAAACAAGTCCACTTTTCTTCAAGTGAACTCAATGAAGGCCTTAATTTATTAAAATTAATCTTAGTATGCAAATTCCCAGTCTGTTCTGAAGGAAAAACAGTCCTGATCTAGCTGCTAGGATTCTTCAGTCAGGATTTGCCTCGTGGTGTGGGATTTCCTGCACTATTCAGTAGAAAGGGGCAGACTTGCACATAAACTGGTGACAGACGTTGCTACCCTATTGCAGCTGGAACTTGGGCCAAACCTGCCAATATTAGTAGGATTTTTTTTCAGTGATTTTCACGGATCCTGGATTTGGCTTTTACTAAAAAGAACTCATGCATCACTTGATGGGATAAAGTAGGTTATAGGCAGCCAGAGCCACAACAGGACAAAAATTATATTCACAGTGATTTAATGGGAAATGCATGAAAACAACAACCAAAAAAACCCACTAGATTTTGCACCTGCTTGATGTCACCTTAGTTTATGGGCACTCCATCTACTGGAGAAACTGCATATGTATTTTTAAGAACTAAAATCTGTAAATTGTTGTGGTTTCACCTGAGGTTGACGACTTGCCCTAATTGCAGCAGATCACTGAAGGAGCTACATACAATTATTTGCTTTGCTTTTGTCTGACAGGCTCTAACATAGGACATGGGAATATGAAAATGGGTAATTTTGTTTCCTGGTAACACCTAAAAATTATTTAATTACCCCTTTTCATATTATAATCTTGATTTTCATCACTCCCAAAGTTTTCCAGAATGAAATCAGCCTGAGTTGTCTTGCATATATGATCACAAAAAATAAAAAATGCATTATTAATTTCTTGACACAGTACTGTATCCTCCAAACATAGGTTTTTGAAAAATCAGAGATTTGTACTTTATGCAAAGTTTCCTATTTTTCTTTTTGCTAGATAAGCCAGAATTATAATGTCTTTTAGTATTAGATTTTAAATAAAAAGCTATGAATGGAATATTCTTACAGATATATATACAAGGAAATCAGTGACTACATTTACTACTCAAACAAGTCTTTTTTTACAGGGTATACACATATTCTGGTTCCAAAGAGCGTATTTTAAAGTTGTTTTGTTTTTCTTCTTCCAGAACATGGAAGAAAACCTTAAACAAGTTAGACTCCAGGGCAGGCAGGACCAGAAAATTTTAGAAGAGAAACGTAACACAAAGGTATCCATCCTTATTATTGGTTTTTGGTTTTTTTTTTTTCCATATTCTTCTTACATCTTTACATTTTAAATGATTGTGTTATCATGGTAGCTCTGGAAGTGAAGTTATTTGAGAGTCAATTAAGTTATTTGAGACCAGTGCTGGTCTCCTGTTCATTGAAAGTTTATATGAGAAGACAGAATCACTAAGAAAATGAATGTATAGCAGAGCTTTTCTGATCGTTTGAGGGAGACTCCCTTTAGATATTCCCAGACAGTAATCAATCCCTACCTACTCATCTTTATATCAAACTGCATTAGCAGTGTATGAAAACTCTTAAGTTTAAGTGAAGTCAAGTCAGGCTGCTAATTTCTTCACATTTTGTTATAAAACGTTATTCTCTATAGTGTTTTTCAAATTGTAGAAGAGGATGGGAATTGAATGGAAATGCACATAAGATACCAGGAAGGTTTCTGACCATAAGATCATTGTGAAGTGAATGAAAAGTCTTTTGTGAAATATTGCACAGAAGCAGTACAGTATTCAAATTTTAATACTGGTTGAGAACCAGCTCTAAGAACCAACTCTGTGTGTTGCAAGGATTTGAATTAAATTACTGTCAAAGACACCTTTCCTTAAAATCAAATGTGGATGCAATAATTTGAAAATACCTATATTTAGATAAGTCTATTTTTGTCCTATTTGTTCAACTTTGATTTTGTTAAATAGAAGAAGAATATTGTTAAACAGAAGTAATTTTCTATAGAAGAATAATTTTCAAGTTTGTAGTTCCCTATAAACTGTGGACATTTAATTAAATGTTTTTATTTAATAAAATAAGTTAATGAAGTGTGTGAATTTTCTTTAGGGAGGAGTAAAGTTTGAAATTAATTTAGATGTATATGTTCCTGAGGAAGACAGCATTCAAGAAGCAGAGGTACATTGCAGTTATATTCAAAGCATTTACATTCATAATCTGAAACCATGACAGTAGCTCCATGATCTAAAGTTTCATTGTTTTGATTACCATCATCCTCTACCTTTGTTATAATGAAGCTTGACAAATAATTATTGTCAACAATAATTTGTTGACATATTGCATATATCTGACCTTCTTCAAGAGGATAATTGCTTAGAAGGAAGTTGGATGATATTTGGGCCAATCTTTCACTTGGTAAAAGATGAAGGAGCGCAGATATTTAAATTTTGTAAATTGGGCTTGCAGGGAAGTACTCATCTCAAACTTGAGTTAGTACGCAAATGACAAATTTGATTTGTAAATTGCTTTAGTACATTTCTGTTTCTTTTCACTAGTATTGTATCACAAAGCAAGAATAATGTGATGAACCAACTGTTATTTAGCAAAAGTGGAAGTGAGACTACAGACATTATGTGATTTCATTTATTGAAGTGACATTTCTGTCCGATTGACATGTAAGAGCTACCTATTAAGATTTTTATTAGTATATTAGAATTAAAAAAAAATACTTGTAACAGCAACATCAAAAATATAGTTTATTTCTAGTATGTATGTTAATAATTTATAAAGCACTGTTTTGTCATTCTGTTGTTTCACATCTCTGCAGAGCCCCTCACATCATGCAGCCTTCTGATACACAATCACAATGTGATTTTTGAGTTCTGCTGCTCCACTTTTTGTTACACAATTTTCCTGTGCATACATGAGAATGGTTGGCAAACACAGTAAAATGAGAAGCGATTAGTTACTGTCCCATATTTGTTTTCTCTTTCCAGAGTAACCTTTTGTTTTTTCAGGTACTAGATAAACTCAATGAGACTTTAACTTTTGCGGGTGGTGAGAATCTTAAGGAGAAACTGGTGGAAGTTTATGAAGATCATACAGACAGAGCTTTGGAAGAACTACTTGGATACCAAACAGGTATTTCTTGGGGAAATGCAATGCTGAGTATTAATCCTGGAAATTATATAGGAGTTAGATAAATTCAGCAACTCCAGGCTACAGCAAGTTTAACTGATGAGCTCTCTCTTTATATGACATAGTATTATAATCACATTGAAATCAGCTTCTAAAAAAAATAAATACCTTTGCCTTCTCTTTTTCTTCCCCTTAGAGTCCAATGACATAGATGATACAAAAGAAAACAGAAAACAGTGGCAAGCTGGAGCCCCTCACACACTACTGAATTTTTTAGCTGATACTGATGTCACATCTGTATGTCCCACTATGGCTGAAAATGAACTTGGTAAGAAAGTTTGTCTTTTCAGTGAAAGTAGGGAGCTGCTAAAATTCAGCCAAACTACTTACAGATATTTGCCAAAACAATTCCTTACCAGAACTTTCACATGATCTGGCAGTCTCTTAATTGGAGGAGTTTGTAATAATTGAGGTTATTGTGCATGTTAAACCATAGAATGCAGTCATCATTTTCCCTTTGTCTAATATTGCGGTCATGTTGCTGCTCTTAATATGAGCCGCTATGTGGCCTGGGTAACAGCGGCTAAAAATACCAGTCTATGCAACTAATCAACACCACTTTCTTGGGCCTAGAGTTGATGACACCCAGGAACTAGGGCAGTCAGCTGCCAATGCCATCCCAGAGTGTGGTGGAGTTCTGGTTTCCCACTTCACACACTAGTGTTGCTCCACAGTCACGAGTGCAACATGGCTGTGGTGATGCTCCCTTTGAGAAGAGGCTAATTGCTAGGCTTCTTACAGTGCCAGTGCCTGTATTCCCAGGCAGCCAGGTATCTCCAGTGACTGGTTGTTGCAAACAAGGAGCTCTTCCAGCATTCCAACGTGCTCCCAACACCCCAGATATAGAGAAATAACCTGAAGAGTTTGCATGGACAGTGAAGACAGAGCAGAATATTATCAGTATACCACTCCTTGTTCATTCTGCCTTAGATGAAAGAGCACAGGGTGCAAAAGAAGTGGGAACTTCTTTGAAGTTTTTTCAGTCTCAAGAAACCAATAAGTTTGAGAGCAAGGACTGCTCAGTGAAGCTGCACCTGTTTATTCCTGGCTTAATAAGCAGTTACTTGAGCAGTAAAACTGCTGTTAGAAATTTTTAGTGACAAATAGTCCAAACTATTTTTTCTCTACAGTATCAGTCAGATCAAACACTTACAAAAAATTCAGGGGTATTACAAAAAGGGAAAAAAAAAAACATTACCCAAAAGGAAGAAACCAGTGTCAAACTAGAAAGTCTGAATCTGACAAAAGACAGTGCCAAGCTACAGTCATCCTTTAGTGACCTGAGAACCTTGCTGTTCTTCAGCTGACCAGGCTATTCTGCCTGAAGGCATCCTGGAAAAGAGGAAGCAGTGGAAACAAACACCACCAGGGACACTCCTGAACATCTTAGCAGAAGCAGAGTTGTCTAATGATTCCTTCATCGATCTTGAAGAAGAAAAAGGTAGGAAGTTTGTTATTGTAAATTCTGCAAGTTTTTCTTTAGTGTATTATTTCTTCTATGTTGGCAGAGGGTCTGTGATGAGAACCAACATTCTGAAGCATTTAGCAAACTAGAAGAGCATGGACAGAGCAGCCATTGCTCTGTCCCGTAGCAGTGAAAGGCCTCTTTCAGGACCTTCCTGTTTTCAATAGCAGGGAAAAGAGCAAGGCCTCCTTCCTGGCTATTACCTTCATATGTAGTTCTTTTATTGGCTTGGGCAGACAGTGGTAAGCTACCACTGCCAGCCAGCTGGCAGGTACCACAAACGTGCATCTAGCACCTGCAACTGCTGATGTTGAAGAACCCCAGGTTCCAGTATAGGCTG